TGTAGTGACCACTTTTACACGGTTCCAAGGCATAACATATGGGCGACCTGTGTATAAAGAACACCTGCCTATAGTGACCACTTTTACACAGTCCTAAGGCATAAGCGATGCGACCAGATATATACACAATGTAACAAGACACGTCAGCCCAGCGACTGCATGCTCAGAAAAAGATTTGTACACACTTCTACCAATTCATTTTCTTTAAAGCGGAGGAGCCGTCACATGCGCATGCGTCAGATGGCCATAGCGTGTCATTTACAAACAAGCGTTTACCCATAAGCCTTTGCGTTTTTAGCGTGTGTTATCGTCGCTTGAGACTCAATTCCCGCGCGTGCGCAGTTGACGACCCTCCCGCTTTAATATGCAATTACAATTCTGGTTTCCCAATAACTCTGGGTTCGATAGTATATAGGGAAAGTACCGTCTTCAATATAACGGTGCCAGTAATTGATGAGATGTGCGGGCAATCAGATAGAGAATAGCAGGGAGCAGTAAAAGTTAATCAATCTGGTCAGCTCTTCAATTCGATTCAATAACTTCAAATATTTAAAAGTTCACTTGCCTTTATGTGATAAAAATGTAGTTCGACATTTCCCTGTCTATGTACTGCATTGCTTTAGGGCACAGGTTTCCAGAGAATTTCCCGCAATATACAATTATAAGGTTTTTTACCTCTTGTTTTCTTTCCTGGATAACGGGAAATGTACAACAAGGGCTCTATATCTGTAAAACTGCCAACTTTTCCAGTTGAGTCAAAACGTATATACAAGGCAGAATTCAAACGACGGAAAAAACAGTCAATAAACAAGATTCTCTCTGATTGGTTTGATTCTTGGGTGTTAGCGGTGGTTAGCCAATCAGATACTGTCTTGTAAAGTAGATAAGCACTTCTCTTATGAATATGACGACGTTGTGTCGTCACAGGAAGCGCTGTAACAGCACAGACGTGTAGAAAAAACGCCGACCTGCAGCGTCAACACCACTCGACGGTATCCAATTCATACTCGAACCTGTGGTCATGCGAGACCTACTACTACCACAACTACATTTTCGGGAAAAATGCACGCATTGTTTTGTTTTGTATTCAACGTAAATGGTCGCTTCGGACTAAAAGAGCGATCCAGTACACCTCTATGCAAAGTGTACGAATCATTTGCAAGATAGATATTACACCAATCATGCTAACCCGTGGCAAAAACATTCAATATAAATGAAATTGTGTTTATTGTTTGTAGAAGGCACTTTAAAAATAATGTACATATTAAGATAAACAAAATATATGCAATCGTATATTAAACACATTCAATATATCATTCCTATAAATCGCGCCCTCTAGTGACAGAACGTTTTTATTACGTCAAAATACGTGTTGACCACTTTCCCGGAAGTAGCGAGACTGGGGTGCAAAATAGTCCTACTTTGTTATGGCTTAAAATACAAACATGTCAGTTTGTTGACAGTCCATAGAAAGGAATTTTATTTTTTGTGACGTCGATTGGTACACCTAGAAGCACAATATCACACGTGCAAATTTACGTTACACCCCAAAACGGCACGCGCGCGCATGCGAAACGCCGTATCTTCGACTTCCGGGAAAGTCGTCTATATTGGCGAAGGCTATTTCATTCAAATCAACAAGTGTATTTTAGCGATTGATTAGATTTTAGCCAAATCTCTCAAAAACAATCTTTAATTCTGGACGACTACATATCAAAACGATATCGACGCTTTGAACGGCTTTCGCTTCACCTAATTGCGTCATACACACGCTATGTCGGCAAGATTCACTTGGTTATACCACCGTTCCTCACACTCCACATCCCAGAGTTCATAGCGCAGGCAGGCTAACACTTCTGCCACACATGACTTTTCACGCTATGATTTGCCACATATCAATACGCAGGTGTTGTTCGGTTATTCAAGACGGCAACCCAAA